CTCATTACAAGGTTCTTTAATTCCTCCTCACTTTCTGCCATCAGAGTGGTGTCATCTGCATATCGGAGGTTGGTGATCTTTCTTCCTGCAATCTTAATTCCAGCTTGGAATTCCTCCAGTCCAGCCTTCTGCATGATGTATTCTGCATATAAGTTAAATAAGCTGGGTGACAATATACAGCCTTGTTGTACTCCTTTCCCAATTTTGAACCAATCCGTTTTTCCATATCCAGTTCTAACTGTTGCTTCCTGTCCCACATAGGAGATGGATAAGGTGGTCAGGCACTCCCATTTCTTTTAGGACTTGCCATAGTTTGCTGTGGTCCACACAGTCAAAGGCTTTTGCATAGTCAATGAAGCAGAAGTAGATGTTTTTCTGGAACTCTCTGGCTTTCTCCATAATCCAGCGCATGTTGGCAATTTGGTCTCGAGTTCCTCTGCCCCTTCGGAATCCCGCTTGTACTTCTGGGAGTTCTCGGTCCACATACTGCTGAAGCCTACCTTGTATGATTTTGAGCATAACCTTGCTGGCGTGTGAGATGAGTGCAATTGTCCGGTAGTTGGAGCATTCTTTGGCACTGCCCTTCTTTGGTATTGGGATGTAGAGTGATCTTTTCCAGTCCTCTGGCCACTGTTGAGTTTTCCAAACTTGTTGGCATATTGAATGTAGCACCTTAACAGCATCATCCTTTAGGATTTTAAATAGTTCGACTGGAATGCCATCACCTCCACTGGCCTTGTTGTTAGCCAGGCTTTCTAAGGCCCACTTAACCTCACTCTCCAGTATGTCTGGCTCTAGGTCAGCAACTATATTGTCTGGGTTGTCCGGGATATCCAAAACTTTCTGATATAATTCCTCTGTGTATTCTTGCCACCTCTTCTTGATGTCTTCTGCTTCTGTGAGGTCCCTTCCATTTTTGTCTTTTATCATGCCCATCTTTGCACAAAATTTTTCCTCTAATATCTCCAATTTTCCTGAACAGATCTCTGGTTTTTCCTTTTCTGTTATTTTCCTCTATTTCTTTGCATTGTTCATTTAAGAAGGCCCTCTTGTCTCTCCTTGGAAATACTAAATCAACCAATCACCTATCAACATCTGTTATTTCCATCTTATTCTGAAAATAAGCTGAGTGATCCATTTTGGCTTCAGCCAGATTCCATATGCTAAAAAATGTATGGCCCAATGGCTGCTTATTTCCCCCAATACTCATGAGCCAGCTGTCAATGAGAAATACACTACGTTCACTTAACAACATCTTCTAGTGTCTCACTGCATCAGGCAAACCTCTATTGCTTCTCTCATTGGCCGTACAATCCACCACGAAAGGCAATTGTTTGAGTCTATCAGTTGAAGCTCTCTTTTTAAAATTAGTTCTATGCTCCATGTATGAACTTTGTGCCCCCCCCAGTAACACTATTTCTCTTACAGAATTGTAAATTTTGTCTGTGATTTTTTTGCTGATTTACTGTAATTTTAGCTTTAATAAAAGAATTTTTTGAAATTGATTGTTACAACTTAAAGCTTGTTAGGAACAAAAACTGGGTCATCTAGCACTTTCACTTTTGACCAAAAGATGAGGAGGAGGAAAGTAAGAAGGAGAGACAGAAAAAAATTCTTTCCTGTGTCCACATTCAAGCCTTGAAAGAAAGGAGGGCAAATGTCTTCACGGAAAAATGCTGGAGGAATGGCAATTTTATTATTCTCACCTTTACTTCAAGGAGCTGAGGATAATGTATGCTCCTGTCCTGCCTTCCTGCTATGTTCTAATAAAAATAAGATATCAACATTGTGTAATGTGGAATGATAAACAGGATGGAGCAGTGCAACTGAAGAAATAAATGAGGATACCAAGCAGCTTGAATTAGACCACTTCCCCAAAAAATAAACAACAAATAAAGGTTTGATCTCAGTAGTATCTCCAGTTGTGCTTTTTCCTTTCTTGACCATTAGTTTAATTCATTTGTTACATATTGTCTGCAAGGCTGCCCCAGAACTGATGTCATATTTGTCTCTAATATTTGAATGCTCTTGAGTTGCTTCACTGGGAGAAAGGTGGCTTTAAAAAACTAAGAGAGATACAATGCAGTTAACATTTAGGCAAAGAAACTGTATTTTGTTTTTTGCTTTTTAAAAAATAATTGTAATTTTAAAAATATTTTAATTAGCTTGCAATTTGTCTGTAGATTGAAAGTTGTAATAGAAGTTAATAAGTTAATAAACAAAATAATAATAACTGTGTGCCATCAGAATCAATTTCAAATTATGGCAACGCATTTCTGGGGTTTTTAGGTAGAGACTACTCAGAAGTGATTTACCATTCCCTTTTGAGGGCATCCGGGGACTGTTTCGGCTTGCCCAAAGTCCACACAGGCCCACTGTTTGCCCGGGATACATGGTGAGGAATTAAACTCCCAACCTCTGGCTTTGCAGCCAGATAGCTAAACCACTGATCTATCCAGCCAGTTAAACGGAAACTTGAGAATTAGAAAGATATATTGTATTTGCTGGCGTATAAGACTACTTTTTTGCCCTGAACATGCCTCTAAGTGGGGGGGGGGTCATCTTATACGCCGGGGGCACTTCAGTTGGGATAAACGTAGCTGCCCATAGTGGCCTTCCGATGCTCGCCTGGTACCCATAGTAGCCTCCCGATGCCTGCCCACCTCATTCTACATACCGTCCAGTATTGTGCGGTATGCAGCGCGGCTGCGGCAAGCATCAGCAGTGAGACAGGGGTGCCAGCCTTTTCGACGTGACCGGCTCATTCTGCTCGGCGGGAAGCAGCAGTGCTCCGGCCCGCCCCTTGTCTATGCAGAGCTCACACATGCGCACTTGCGTACTAGTGCTGGTCACAGGAAGATGCAGGGGCGGGCCGGAGGCACTGCGGTCGTGCTGCGGCCGTACAATGGTGACAATGAATAGCACCTTTTATTTGGTGTGTGGAAGGTATACGGAAGAGGGGGTAGTTTTATACGGCGAGTATATAACTATATTTTGAGTGGAAATGTTGGGGGGGTCGTCTTATACGCCCAGTCATCTTATACGCCGGCAAATACGGTACTTAATCATAGTAACAGTACATTGTAGCTACCATTATTTCAGAAAGGGTCTGATATGTGTCCACTGGTCTTAAATGACATGCTGCAGTTTGAAATATAACTTGAAGTATAATATTGAAATGTTTGCAATTATAAAAATTGAACTAAAATGGTCTGTTCTTCACGAATCAGCTTTCTGAAGAGTATGAGTGCAGGGATAGAGATGGTGAACACCAGGAAGCAAACCATGCTGTGTATTAGCATCACCCTGTTTATAGATTCATTGTAACTCTTGACAAAGATAGCCTAAGTGGGCCTCCTGCTTCCATGCCATGCTGACATTTCTTTGTATTGACTGCTGCTAGATCCTTGTAATCCAGAGCCATGAGATCTTGTTCAACATGTTTGTCCCACTTGGTAGGCGTGTTTGTAAGTACTGAAAATGGCAATTAAATCTAATCATTCTTTGTGCTCATAACAATACATTTAAATCCTTTAACATCCTTTGATTTTATACATAAAGTTTGTTTTAAATAGAAAATTGTGTTCAGCTTCATAGTTTGATTATACTTTTACATGTTTATAGTGATAACAAAGTAAACTCACTTTAAATAGTGGGGCTTACTCACAAGTCAGATTCTACACAATTGTGTAGTGCTTCTTTATCTTTGACAGTTTAAGAAATCCATGTCTCCTTTCTGGGATATGTTTCATTGGTAAATGCTTGGGATGATGTATGCTTCCTGACAGTTGTGCCAGGCCTATGTAATGTGGATGACATAACGTTAGATGGGTAACAGTGTGAATCTAATCAGTTTGTGACATTTATGCATAAAAACAAGTAGTGCCCTCAATTAATATAGTTTAGTGTGAGCAAAGTGTCCTTAAGATGTTTTTGGAAAGTAGCATATGGTGAGGAGTGCTAAAAGGTGGTCACTTTGCCTACCTCTCCCGAAAAAAAATAAACATGAAACTATATAGACTTTAAAAAAAAATATTACAATCCCAAATCAGATAAACAGATATGCATAATATATTCAACTAATGTTACAATTCCAGATGAAGTAGCTATCTGATTTAGAACTGTAGTATTATCTCACTGCATTCAAATCTATTTATCAATCCTTGAGAGACTCTTGGAAACAATTAATCATCCAACCATGGTTACAAAGACAAAAATCCTGACAGGTTTGGTGGGGCTTACCACCAAGGAAGCATACAGATACAAATATAATTTTGCTAGCCTAGAACAGCTCATTAACTGTTATGCACAATTTTTAAAGAAGCTTAAAATTTATTGGCATTGCAGAGTGGCTTTATGATTCCTGGCTTCCAAAATATAAACTGCATATATTCAAGGTGAATTAAGTTACACATCCCACATATTTATTAAAAGAAAAAAGAGAAGTCCTCGTAAGTTTTGAAGACATTTTTCATTTGACATATTTCATTTTGGAGTTAGGATGCTGACATCTAAAGGGAATAAGAGCTCAGTTTTGTAGTTTGCCCTTTGAGACATTTATCAGTAAAATCCTGTACAAGATTTCTGAAAAATAAGTCATGCTGATTTCAAGTGTGCCTACTTTCAGTTAGTGGTTGTAGGCTTGCAGGCTCACTGGTTCTAACTCTATTTTAACTCATTTTTGGCTCTGAATTGTATTTAATTTTTCCCTTGTAAAATGGAGCATCCTCTCTCTCTTCAGAGGTAATGTTCATGGGACATCCCCCTACTGTAATAGTGAATAAAGTTTTTTTTTAAAAACAGTAAATCAGTAGTAATCACAATCAAAGGAATGGTGAGAGTTCAACACACATAACAAGACAGCAAGCTAAATTGGGCTGAGATACAGTAATGGCCAAAAATATTGGCCCCCTTGCAATTCTGTCAGAAAATGCAACCCTTCTCTCAGAAAATTGTTGCAGTTGCAAATGTTTTGGTACTCACATGTTCATTTCTTTGATTTGAGTTGTAAGGAAAAAAAAACAGAAGAAAAGTCAAATCTGATACAATCCCACACAGAAACCCAAAAATGCACTGGCCAAAATTATTGGCACCCTTAACTTAATATTTGTTAGCACCCCCTTTGGAAAAAATAACTGAAATCAATCGCTTCCTGTAACCATGAATGAGTTTCTTACATCTCTCTAATGGAATTTTGAACCACTCTTCTTTTGCAAACTGCTCCACGGCCTTCAGATTTGGATGCCTTCTCCCAACTGCTGTTTTGCGATTTCTCCACAGGTGTTTTATGGGATTCAGATCTGGACTCATTGCTGGCCATTTCAGAACTCTCCAGCATTTTGTTTGTAACCATTTCTGAGTGGTTTTTGAAGTGTGTTTCAGGTCATTGTCCTGCTGGATGACCTCTGGTGGAGACGCAGCTTTCTGACACTGGCCACTACATTGCGCCCCCAAATTCTTTGGTAATAATCAGATTTCATGATACTATTCACACAGTCAAGGCATCCAGTGCCAGAAGCAGCAAAGCAACCCCAAAACATCTTTGAACCTCCACCAGGTTTGACTGTAGGGACTGTGTTCTTTTCTTTGAATGCTTCATTTCTTCTTCTGTAAACAGTGCCATAATGTCCTGCTTTTGTCTCATCTGTCCACAGTACGTTCTCCCAGAAGGATTGTGGTTTTGTCACATAAGTTTTGGCATATTTCAGTCTTACTTTTTTATGCCTTTGTGTCAACAGTGGTGTCCTCCTGGGACTCCTACCATAGTGTCCCTTTTCATTCAGATGGCAACAGATAGTGCGAGCTGACACTGCTGTACCCTGTGTCTGCAGATCAGCTTTGATTTGTTGGGAAGTTAATCTGGGTTCTGTATCCACCATTCAAACAACCCTTTGTTGTAATTTTTCAGTAATTTTGCTCTTCTGTCCACATCCAGGGAGGTTAGCTCCCTGGAGATTTCCATGGGTTGTAAACCTCTTAATGATATTGCGCACAGTGGACACAGGAACATTAAAATTTCTGGAGATGGACTTCTAGCCTTGAGATTGTCAATGTTTTTCCACAGTTTTTTTCTCTCAAATCCACAAACAACTCTCTACACCTCATTCTTTTCTCCATGCTGAGTGTCACACATAACACAAACTTTCAATCAATTTTTCTCCATCTTAACTGGTTGCAGGTGTGATTACTATATTGCCCACACCATTTATTTGCAACAGGTGAGTCTAAATACATATTAAATACATACTTGAAAAGCAGTTATTTGTTACAATTTATTTTTCTTGTTTAGTCATTAAGTCATGTCCGACTCTTCGTGACCCCATGGACCAGAGCACTCCAGGCCCTCCTATCTTCCACTGCTTACCAGAGTTGGGTCAAATTCATGTTGGTAGCTTCGATGACACTGTCCAACCACCTATTCCTCTGTCGTCCCCTTCTCTTCTTGTCCTCACACTTTCCCAACATCAGGGTCTTTTCCAGGGAGTCTTCTCTTCTCATGAGATGGCCAAAGTATTGGAGCCTCAGCTTCTGAATCTGCCCCTCCAGTGAGCACTCAGAGTTGATTTCCTTCAAAATGGATAGGTTTATTCTCCTTGCAGGCCAGGGGACTCTCAAGAGTCTCCTCCAGCACCACAATTCAAAAGCATCAGTTCTTCAGCTGTCATCCTTCTTTATGGTCTAGCTCTCACTTCTTTACATCGGTACTGGAAAAAACAAAGCTTTGACTATGCGGACCTTTGGCGGCAAGGTGATGTCTCTGCTTTTCAAGATGCTGTCAAGATTTGTCATCGCTTTCCTTCCAAGAAGACGGCGTATTTTAATTTCGGGGCTGCTGTCTCCATCTGCAGTGATCATGGAGCCCAGGAAAATAAAATCTGTCACTGCCTCCGTGTCTTCCCCTTCTATTTGCCAGGAGGTGATGGGACCAGTGGCCATGATCTTAATTTTTTTGATGTTGAGCTTCAGACCATTTTTTGTACTCTCCTCTTTCACCCTCATTACAAAGTTCTTTAAATCCTTCTCACTTTCTGCAATCAGAGTGGTATCATCTGTATATCTGAAGCTGTTGATATTCCCTCCTGCAATCTTTATTCTGGTTTGGGCTTCATCCAGTCCAGCCTTTCGCATGATGTATTCTGCATAAATTAAATAAGTCTGGGACAATGTACAGCCTTGTCGTACTCCTTTCCCAATTTTGAACCAATCAGTTATTCCGTATCCAATTCTAACTGTTGCTTCCTGTCCCACATTCTCAGTTTAGGCTCCTCAATACCTGAACCTATGAATGGTTCTAGGATTTTCCACTGATCAGTGTTTTTTTGTGAATGGAGTCAGCACAAGGGGGTATCTTGACTGCTGACATCGGTGTCATCAACATTCAGTCTTCTCTTTGCTATGTAAAGTTTTGTATCCATTTTTATGTTGTGCAGCAGAAATTGAAAATTCAATAGAATAATGCAATCTAAACTTAAAATTTCTAAATGTAAAAGACTTCTTGACATAAAGGATGCCAAGCAGTACAGGACATTGATATACACAATTTATGTTGTGAGAACAATTGTTGTAAGTGGAAACAACATTTTTAAAGGGCCATTCTGAGCCCAATATTACCTGTTATCTCAAATTTAAAGGCCAGACTGATTTAAACTGCCTAGCATGCCAAACTGTTAATGAAAAAGTCATGTAAAATGCAAGTCAATCTGTATGTTGCTAACAATATGATTTAAAAATTACTGTCACCTAACATAGTTGAAGTCAGGCACAGATATTTATTAATTGCTATTTACAGCTTTGCCCAGAATATATTCATTCATGAGAATAGATTTCTGCAAATTATGGGTATAATTTATATATGAGCCTCGTGGCGCAGTGGTTAAAACGCTGTACTGCAGCTAAAACTGTGCTCACGACCTGGGGTTCAAATCCCAGGTAGCCGGCTCAAGGTTGACTCAGCCTTCCATCCTTCCGAGGTCGGTAAAATGAGTACCCAGCTTGCTGGGGGGGCAATGTGTAGCCTGTATAATTAAAATTGTAAACCGCCCGGAGAGTGCTTGTAGCGCTATGGGGCGGTATATAAGTCCAATAAATAAATAAATAAATAAAATATATTCATTCATGAGAACAGATTTCTGCAAATTATGGGTATAATTTATGCAAAATAATCTTTATCACTGTGATTGTTTTATTGGGTTTCCAGTATGCTACCATTTTAAAATATAGGGGCATTATTTTTTATCAAAACTGCTAAGGGTAAGTTAATATATCAAGACTCCATCTAAGAAGAACTCAGTGAAGTGTGTATAGTAATAGACTATAGGGATACTCTCAGTCAATCTACATCTACTTAAGTGGATTATCACAGAAATAGATCCAAACATTTTTGCTTTCTTTATCATAGTGTATACACATCTAGTAATGTAACCTTTTTTTTTTTCATTCTTAGCCTCACTGTCAAACTGAGCAATAACTCCTTTTTGAAAGCTGGGAAGTTCCACATATCCCACAGTATCGATCTTGGTCAACCACATCCCTATCCAGAATTTTATCATTTGTGTTAGTACTGTATTAATTTCTAGAGAGGAAAAAAAAAGCTGAAGTGATTCCTCTTAATACATGATGGGTGGAGATGACTGGTTTTATCTCTTTAGTACAGGGGTCAGGGAACGTTTTTACCTTTTACCCCCCAAAAAATTTATATACACCGACATTACCCCCTTGATTCGTAAGGAAGGAAAGCATACATTATTTGAATTTATAATATTATTGAATCCACACAGGCTGTGTACCGAACTAGCAGGATGCACTAAATTTGATAAAGATGTGCACTATTTTTGCTGGAACACATTGCACTCCAGCCATGGTGTGGTATAGGGAGTAGTAAGGTGTCCAACGTGCCCAGCAAGTTGCATTACATTTTTGCTAGCTCGCAAAGGATTTAATCATCATCAGTGGTTGCCAGAGTGCTCCTAGCAATGACATGCTTGCTAGAGACAGCCAACGCAGAATGGGGGGGGG